ACCTGAGCCAATCAAACAAATTACTAATAGAATAACTTTCAAAAGTTCCCTAAAACAACATATACTGAACACCGTACTTTAATATTTAAATACTAGCTTTATCATATGTATGATACAAATATTATTTGCAGCTAAACTTTATTTGTACTTGCCCACGATTGTTCCACTAATAATATGATGTGCAGAGTAGCGCGTTAACAGCTCCATTTTTTTTTCTTTCTTTTTTTCTCTCATTATTTTTTTATTATTATTATTTTACTTATTTATTTCTGGAGATTTTGTTTTTTGTTTGTATGTGTATATATGTATGTGTGTGCACATATATACATATATATATATATATAGCCTGCATAGAAATTTATATTGGTTAGGATTGGGCCACAGACTAGATTAGTTCGGATGAACTACCTCTGTGGTCCACACCAAGAAATTATTATTATTATTATTATTATAAGATTACTAGAATTATTATTATTGGTGAAATAAATCATATATGGTTTATTGTTTATGTACTGAATCATTACCTTGTTTGAATTTTTCAAATATAAACTAGTAAGCACAGCTTTTGAGCAAAATAAAATATCAAATAAGTGATGTTGAGCAAATAAAAATAGGGGCTATCCAAACTTGTTTCCATGGAAACAGTAATGCATTAAATCCTACATCAGCAGCCATTTTGAATTACTGGTAAAACATGCATACATTCAAGGTTTATGGTTCAGAGATTTGTTTGGAAACCCAAAGTTTATTTGTTTCAAATAGCATTTGTTTCAAATGACCTCATTAAGCATCACCTAATCATGAAGTTGTTTGATTCGGACAAACAAATAAGTAAACATGAACTAATACAGTGACAAAATACATTCACAATTGTTGTGCCATTGAAAGAATTACATTTTGGCTTTGCTAAGACAATAAACATTGTGATAGGGTAAATTTAACTGCCGTAAAAAATTCAAACCGGTTGGAGTTGAAATTGGCATTATCTTCTCCACATACATTTCACATTTGATCTATTTCACATGCTGTACAATATACTATTATTACATCAGTTCACTTTTATTAAGATCTCGTTATCGCGACAAATATTACCGGTATAGCCTGTTTCTTTTAAATACATGAAATTCTTAAAAGTCTGAGCTGCACTCTCCCTTAATTTTTTTGTATTTTAGTGAAGTATGTACCTGTACTTTTGTGTGTTGATAGTTTATTTTTATAATGAAACAAATATAGTTATTTTCGATTTTTCTATTTTTTCTATTTTCTAATTTTACTAACTTTTGAAGGCTAGGGATGCTCTATCACATAGCATGGGTTCAGCAAAGAAAAAGAAACCTAGTCAGTATGGTCTTAAAACGTAAGTATTAATTCCCGAATTACCGCCAGACGTGATGTAATTCTATTTGCGCATACGTAACCTACCTAGCAACGGGCGAGGGTAGCACAAAAATATAAAAAGTCAAAAGAGCACCGGTAGGCATGCAACCCGTAAGAAGTCAGCAGCAAATTTGAGTTTTTTTTAGCTCCGCTCGACAAAGTCGACATATGAGTGATATCATAT